TCGATATCAGATCCTGTCATCAACACATGTGGGAAACACTCGGGTGCGGTGGGTTCGCAAGATCACTCTGAGTGAGGGTGGAAATGCACGCATCAGATGTTACTTAACCAATAAACATGAATGTCTTTTTTTTTTTTAATCAAAGTAAAAATAGAAAATAAGAAAAAGTCAGCCAACCGCTGGCTGCTTATCTAAAACATTTGTATATAGACTAGAGCGTCCCACACTTTCCTGAATCCGAGACTCCCCTGGGCAGCTGAACACACTGTCCCACTCTCCAGAGCAGGCTGAAGCAGCCTCCACTGCACAGCGGAACTGGGCCTTCGCAGCTTCGCCAAAAACGAAAACAAAACAATAACAAACCTCAGCTTGGATTCCTATTCAGTGTATGAGCACAAAGAACAATTTAGTTGGATTACTAAGTAAAATAATGGATTAATGCATCTATGCTTTGTCATCATTCTCAACACTTCCTGGCCGACGTACCAGGAAGCAGCTGGCTCTTCCCTTAGAAGTTTATCTAACAGAGTGGTCCTCCCCTAAGAGTAATCCAGGGATCAGGAATTGCATCATCGTGGAATTTATTGGAAATGCAAACTCTCGGACCCTGCCCCAGCCCTACTGAATGAGGATCATCTGTTTTAACAAGCTCTGGGTCATTCTGATGTATGTTCGAGTTTTAGAAGCACTTAGAAAATTGTTTCCTAAACCTTTCTAATGGGAAGTACACTTTCTTCAGCCCTTGATAGGCAATTCTGATTCTGAGAAGCTGGAATGAGAACTTGGAAATTCAACTTCTGCAAGTACCTGCAGGAGACCCTTACCATCAAGTATGTTTAGGAGACCCTAGGATACCCCCCTGGTTTTTTCATGAGTCCTGTTGGAGGCAGTGATTTGATCAGAGATACAAGGAAGAATAACTAGAGGACCTTTTTAAAGACACAGATTCTCTGGCCTTTTCCCAAACTCTAGTCAATCACTGTATCTGGGATCGGCGGTAGAGCTGTATGTAAGGTGTCTTGTTCCCCTGCAATAAGTAACGTAAATGAAGAAGGGGTCACGTTTCAGTGGGGATGGCCCTGTGCCGAGGGATGCTGGGTGCCGGTGCTATGGCTCGAGATCCTCTGCAAAGGACCAGCACCAGGCTCGGGCACAGAGGGCAGGAGCTGCACTTCCTGGTAGACCGTAGCGTTTGGGCAGAAGACTGGGAGGCAGAGGTGGCCCAGAACCGGAGCCCCTTCCCACAGGCAGAGCTGCAATGCACATCTGTTCTCATTGCCTGCCAGTTATGACAGGAGCAGGGACAGCAGCCATACTTTGTTTTAAAAAATAAAGAAATGTGACATTTCTTTTACCAGTCACACACAGAAAGATATTAAAGAAACCAAAACACTAGGAGGGAAATCAAGTGTGAAAAATGTTGCTTTTAAAACTTCTCTTACTTCCCTGTCTGCCTCCTCCCTTACACTGCAATCCTGTGAGGTCAGCTTTGTAAGACCTTATAGTCTCGTTATCTCACCATTTCTTTGTCTTGCTACTAAGATATTTCATAATGTTGGTCAATTCCTGTCTCCTTTTTTTCAAGCTCTAAATCAATATGAGACACTACATTGGTTAATCAACCCATTTACAAAGCTTTCTTTTCTTCTAGTATATCAACCCCAAAGAGCTGAGTGTTTACGGTTTAACACTTTAGTCTTCAATGAAAATCACATATATTGAGCTTAACAAGTGTCTGATATGGGGTGATGAATAACACTGGTTCTCATTTCTTCTCCCTTCAATCACAGGCATCATCTTATAAACTGCTGGACATGTCTGACTCGCAGGTGTGAAAAAAATGATACAGGGAACTCAAGCACAGCTGCAATGCACATCTATTTCCATTGCTTACAGGCCGCTACGTGCCTATAATCAGGACAGACCCTGCCAGATGAAGACATCTACATTTTGCCTGCCTGGAATATAAAGAAAACTCCCGATTTCGTGAATACTGGAAAAAGTTTTCAGATGACACAAACAAGTACACGTGAATCTCCAGTTTCTGAGACCTCATTTGCCATAGAGGGTGGAAAAAACCGTTTATAGAGAGGGGTCTGAATGTCTGTGAGTGTTCCTGACGTTCAGACTTTATTCTCCACCCCCTAATACAGACACACTGGTTATTTCTCGTGGAAAGGGACTTGGTCCCTGAGGGTGAATAGCAGCACCGAACCACACAGAGCGGCACCGGCCGGGGTTCCTTCTGGAGGAAGTGGCACTGCGCTGCTCCTCGTTCTGCCTCCACGGTGGCCCCTGCTCCAGTCCCGTGGAGCGTCGCGGCTCTCCCTGCACCCGCGGAAGGCCGCCACTCACAGGTGCTAGCAGTGGCGTTCAGTGGCCTAGTTACCATGCATTGGACCCTTAAAAAGTAACCTTTTTTTTTTTTTTCCTTGACAGTTCCTTTAATATGTCCCCAATCGGTGGGCCTAGAAATTGCTGGTGTGGCTGCCCCTCCACGGAGCCCATAAAGTTTTCTCCACCATCACCCAGAATTCCCAATGGAAGCTTCGGGCTGCCTGGTTCTTCAGCATTAACTCCTTCCTACGTCCCCATCCCCACCCGCAAGGGAAGAGAGGCGGTGCTTAATCCGATAATGAGTCTTAAAAGTACCCACATGGCTCCATCCAGAACACTAGAGACTGTTTTGAAAATAAAGCCTTGGAATAAACCTGATTTTTCCAAGCTGCTGCGAAGTCTATGCAGAGCAGGACTTAGCATAGTCTGGGATATATGTGATACTACACAGAGTCTTAGGGAAATTTCAATTCTTGGTCCTGTCATTCTATTGTCTTATTTATAGTGAACAGAAACTAAGGGAAAATGATGATTTTTCCAGAAAAGTCTTCTCTTTAAGACCTGTCAGACCTATTAGAAAATTAAAGTGAGACACCTGTTTCACTGAACTTGCTTTCCATTTCAGTTGTTTAGTTTAATTCTGTTTCTGTTCCCACTTCTGACAGTTAATTCTGTGATCAGTCTCAGAAAAACCAGTGTTTTACGGTAGGTTCAATTTCCCTAGTGGGGGTCTACAGTTCCCTGTTCTTTTCTATAAAGTTCTCTAAAAATAAATGTATTATACTTCAATAAGAAATAAGGAATTCAGACAGTTCTGAATCTGGTAAGTGTATTATTAACTGTCTCCAAGATTCCCTTAAATAAATATTTAAATATTAAATTCTTTCTGGAAACTGCAGACATAGCCCTTACCTTTCCTTTGATGTTGACTCATAATGAGATTCCTCTACTTCGTGCGGGCTCTTGCTACAGTTTCCCTGTGGAGTTACAGAGCTGCTCTTCCACAGGTGCCTCACAGTGGAAGGTGTAACACTAAAAACAGCGAAACACTGTGTCAGGTCAGATGTGGTGGGTACACCTGTCCCTTTCTGGATGATCTCATTTCCTCCCACTGCATCAATGCCACACTATCTAATTACCATGACTTTGTTTTACATGAAGAAACAGCAAGTCCTCCAACATTGTTGTTCTTCAAGGAGAAACGTCCTTTTGCATTTCCACATACATTTTATAATAGACTTGTCCATTTTCACACACACAGAAGAACTTCCTGAGACTTTGGTTGAAACGGCACTAAATCTATGTCAATTTGTGGAGAAAGAACATCTTTAAAATGCTGAGTTTTCTGGTCCATAAACACTTCTCTTACTTAAAGTCTTCATTTTTCTCAAACATGTTTCATAATTTTCTATATAGAAATCATATATAATTATTAGATTTATATCAATCAGCTTGATTTTTGATGCCTTTGTAAATTGTATATTTTTTAAATTCCTTTTTTTCCTAGTTGACTGTTGTTGGTATATATAAATACTTTTTGGATACTGATGTTAAATCCAACAATCCTATTAAATTCACTTATTGATTCTAATAGTTTATCTGTGATTCTTCTGGATTTTTCCATTAATAATAATGCCATTTGGTAATTTATTTATTTTTTATTTATTTTTTTATCCTCACCCGAGGACATTTTTCCATTTTTTGTACAGATAGAGTGGGAGGGAGAGAGAGGAAGAGATAGAGAGAGAGAAACATCGATGTGAAAGGGACACATCAGTGGCTGCCACCGCACGACCAACCAGGGCCGGGGACAAACTGCAACCGAAGTACGTGCCCTTAGCGGGAACTGAACCCGGGTCTCTCCGGACCGCAGGCCGATGCTCTAACCGCTGAGCCAAACCGGCCAGGGCGGTAATTTATTTTTTAAATTGGTTTTAGAACTGTTTGTGGTCCTCTGTTGTACCTATAAAAATATTATTTTCATGTTAGAGTGGTCATATGGAATTCAGTATATTAGATAAAAACTAGACATTTGGACTATTGGCCTCAGCACGGAAGAATACAAAGGGCACCCAATACATAAAGAACATCTTTATTTTCTCAGGAGCTTTGGAAATATGTATTCTGTATGCACTACTTCCCTCTCCCCACCCACCCACATCTGCCCCAGCCCCTCCCCCCATAAGTACACCAACTTGTGTTTCCATGTGTATTTCTTTCTCTTTCAGTATGAAAGGAAACAAAAGACTGGCTGAAATGATAGATTTTTATTTGCCCCTCTGAACATTGTATTCTTCTGACATCATCACTGACGACAACTCAATTTCTAAAAGACCTGTTTCCGCGTTCACATCTTCTCTGTAAGACCTTCTCCTTCCTGGGGTTACTAAGAAGTTACCAATGTCTGGCTGGCTCACTTCTTGATGATGGGACTTTTCTTGCTTCCAAAGAAGTAGATCTGAGTGGGAACCAGGTCTGATTTGCTTGTATCAGGAGACAATAGAGAGTGTCATGAGCCTCAGTCCACCCACTGTCGGACCCAAAGAACTGACACAAAATAAAGGGCCGGAGCCTGTGGTTTTGCCTTCAGCAATATTTATTGGAAACAGCGATGCTTCCCGTGGTAAGAATGTATACATTAAGCAATAAGATTTGCCTTTCAGTCCACACGATCCACTACCGCAGGGAACACATCCAAAGCAGCACGTTAAACCTCTGAAAGAATCTGTACAGCTAGATAAACAGAACTCTGGAGAGAACAGGACTTTAATGACGGTACAAAAAAAATAGCACTCAAACTTACACACAGCACTGCACACACAAAATGAAGATGAGATAGAAGGACAGTTGAAGGTAACCGCCGACAGGGAGACAATGGGCACTAGCGGCCACACCGCTCACTGCTGCGCACGGACATCACCTTTCAGTGGTCTCACCGAGGGCAGAATATGCACAAATGATGTTCAAAGGACACAAGGCGAAAGTGGAAAGAAAAGATATTTACTGTTTCTTGGTCTATGAACTGGTGGAAAAAAATGGTTCCTGGTGTTTTTCTCCCTGCGTTTCTGTGTCAAATGGGTTCCTGAAACACTAATTCATAAATAAAACTAAAATGAAAATATTTGTTCCCCCTTCCCTGTCCTTTCAGAAATGCCCTAAACACACACAGATTCTTTACAGCAGAAAATGCAAGCTTGGAAACCAGATCTCTTCCCAAGTCCCTGCAATGGAGACTCTCCTCTTGTCAGCCGCTCTCTCGGTACGCGGCTTGCTAACTGTCTCACGTGAAACGAAACGGGAACCCCTCTGGCTTTGTCGGCAGGGAGGGAGGAAACTGCGGTGCCTCAGAAATAGGCATCAGTGGGAGGAACAAAGGTGAATGTTCGCAGAGAAGGCTTTGAATCCACACTCAAAACTTTTCTACTGAGCATCAAAGGACTAGCTCTTTCAGACCAGAGGACAAGTTGCTGGTAAGGGAGGCTTTCTTGAACAATTCTGTGACTCAGGCATTTGGAAGGGGACGATGTGAAAGCAAACACTTTCTCCTGTTTAAGTGGAGAACCTGAGACCTGGAGATGGCCCCTGGGCAACAGATCACATCTTCTATAGGATGAAGAAGCCACAGCCTCTTGAGAACTGCATGAACAGCAGTCCTCTGAATACTGGCTGGTCTCAGATGGTATTTTAAAAGCACATGCCATACCCACCAGGCTGAGAAGATACCATCCATCACCATGACTCCTGTGGGATCACACAAGTCAATCAATGATGCTCTGTGGGGCTGGACGACTCGGACCACTGCAGCCTGCACTGGGGTGTATTGTAAGCAGCATTACCAAAGCAGTGGTTAAACTGAACTATCTGGGTCAGAGGAGGTGAGCCAGCCAGCATAACACACTAATGGGGCAGGGCAACCAGAATTTCCACATAATTGATGGGGAAGAAGCCTGAATGGCCATGAAGCATCCCCTCGTACCAGTTCTCATCAATTTGGTTAGTGAGTGTGATGATATCACCCTCTTTAAAACCCAATTCCCCTTCATTTTCAGGTTCAAAGTCGTACAGAGCTCGGCAGCAGGGCTGATCCATTGGGACACCTGGGAGTCAGAGCAGGAGAGAAGAACACAGAAAGACAAGGGGAATTTAACTCACACATGTACTGCCCGCTGCACCTGCCTGCTGACCCCTCGGCTCCTCCCTCCCTCCTCGTCCCCTGCAGCTTCCTCCTGCGCCTAGTCCCAGGAACGCCGCCCGGCACCTCCCCTCCAGCCCTCCGAAGCTTTCCCAGATGTCTGGAAGGTGTGGATTCCTGCTTCCGTTTCCAGCAGGGAAAATGGCCCATCTATTCTTCAGCAGAATTGATCACGGCTTGCCTCCCTGACAATGCCCCGCGATGGGAGGCCCAAGGACTTAAGGAGCATTAATGAGACTTAGGTTGATGATACAGCATGACCAGAATGCTTTCCATGGTAGCACTTTAAAATCTCTGCATGTGTGAAATAGCACAGTTAACTCCATGAACGATGCTCTGCAACCCCAGAATAACACTGCAACTCTCACTTTTTAAAAATAAAGACTCCAAGCTCTGCAAAACAGCTATCCTGCGGGGACCATGCAGCACTGCAGACACTGGGTCCAGTGCTAACGCTGTGACCCTGCACAGGGCACTTCACCCTCAGTTCTTTTGTGCAACAACTCACTTCTCAGGACTATCATATCCATGAAATGAGATTAAGCAAACATTATATAATTTATACTTTGTAAACTATTGCATATATATAAATGGGAGGAGTGCAGCAGAGCTACGGCATATTAAAATAATGTACTATACCTTGAGTAAAATAATAAAAAGAATGGAGTCGTATCCTAAAAAAGACCTATGTTAAATGACCAAATATAATTTTTCACCTAAACTCACATATTCTCTGTAAGAGTGTGACTTGCAGTAAAGGGTTAAGGGAAGAAATGGCCAAATATATTAAAATAGTACACATATGCATATAAACTCAGACAAGTGCATACAACTCCCATGTCACCTACACAGCTTTTAAGGGAAACAACATAATAAATATTCTTATTTAAAGAAAGGCCACGGTTCAATTCCCAGTTGCGGGTTTGAACTCCGATCGGGATGCATAAGGGAAGGCAACTGGTTGATGTTTCTCTCTCACAGTGATGTCTCTGTCTGTCTGTCTGTCTGTCTGTCTGTCTCTCTCTTTCTCTCTGAAATCAGTAAGACCATATCCTCGGGTAAAGATTAAAAAAGAGCCCTGGCCAGTTTGGCTCAGCGGTTGGAGCATCGGCCTGCGGTACAGAGAGACCCGGGTTCGGTTACGGCTAAGGGCACGTACCTCGGTTGCAGTTTGTCCCCGGCCCTGGTTGGTCGTGTTGGTGGCAGCCACTCGATGTGTCCCTTCACATCGATGTTTCTCTCTCTCTCTCTCTTCCTCTCTCCCCGCTCCCGCTCTATCTGAACAAAAAATGGAAAAATGACCTCGGGTGAGGATAAAAAAAAAAAAAAAAAAAGATTAAAAAAGAAAGCAGAAAATGAACAAGTCTCTGAAAGAAGAGGAAAATATGCGGTTGGTTTCTGAGCAGGAAGAAGCAAGTGACACATAACATGTAAGGCTAGTCCCTGCGGGCAGCTAACCCCTGAGAGCCACTGCGGCTGGCACCCCATGAGCTCGGAGGGGCTGATGTGAGCACACAGAGCTCCCCGGACCTCCCGCTTCCTTCCTGGTCTCCGGAAAGCACCTCACGAAAGGTGTCCTACTACAGAACCTCGGGCACGGAAGATACGGGGACAGCAGCACAGCCTTAAAATCCATGTCCAGTATAAGATGGTTTTCACTTCTTCAACCAAGCACGTGTTGAAGTTGAAAATCTCTCGAGCGCTACAGTCACCTCTGCGCTCCTGAGCCTCAAGAAATCCAACCCAACTCGCTGCTGGAGCCGCGGGCTGAGGGCTGTGCCAGCTCCTGGGGGACAGTGCCCACGGGCACTCTGGTGCATGCTGGAGCCACAGAAGGGGAAGAACAGCGGAAAAGATGCCACCCCAGCACCAAACTGACACGTTAAGATGATTTTATGACCGCGAAAGAAGGTTGAAATCAAATGTGATTATTAGGAGGTTAAGAGCTGATGATGGAGAGTGCGAGGGAGAAAAAAAGGCCATGAAAATTTTAGGCAGGAGAGAAGAGGAAAGAAGAAGAAAAGGCATGAGCAATGAGAAAAGGAGGAGGAGCCCTTTTAAAAGAGTTTCTACCTGACAAAACCATCCTGCAAGAAATATATTACTGTGTATTTCCTTTGCAGCCAGATCAGGCTGATCCAGGGATTTCTGGAACAGTGCCGATGTCTCAGCCCTACCTGAAGGCTTGGGCGTGCCGGCGTGGGAGAGGCCTCCGTTGGGCTGCACGCCGTCTCCAGCGGGAAACTCCAGGCTCATTCGTGGTTTAGGCTGATATTCCCTTCTAGGCTGAGAGGAAGCTTGTCTTATTCTGCATTGAAAAGAAAAGGGGGAGAATAAAGAGTGTGTAGCCAATTAAGAAGCAAAAAGAAAAGCAGTCAAATCCAGGAACTGCTGAGATCACCCACTAATCTGCCACCGTGGAGCAGGGGAGATCGAAAGCGGCCTCAGTTTTCTCCTATGTGTGTGTCTCTGCTTCTGGTGAGGTCCCTCCGTGGTCATACCCTCCCTGTCATACCCTCCCTGGCTCCCTCCTCTCTCTCAGTCCCTCACTTCCTGAGCTCACTCTGCACTGTGCCTGGTGCCAGGACCACAGAGATGAAGAAGGCACAGGGTTTGCCCTCAAGCGGCCCTGGTCTGTGGGGCAGCCAGGACATAACCACTGGTCACCATAAAGAGCAGTCAGCGCTGTTACAGAGAAGTGTGCGGGTTGCTGTGGGGACGTGGGGTGGGGTGGAGGAGTCCACTGTCCTTGGGGACGCTGGAGAAGGTTTAAGGAAGAAGGTAAAAGATAAGTAGGAGTCATTTCCAGACAAACAGTAGTTTGCAGAAGAAAGAAAATTATTCCATGCGGAGCTTGAGAGGGTTGGAGGGGAGGACAGGCGAACCGTGTGCTCAGAGAGCAGCGCGCACTTTGCAAGGTAGGCAGGGGAGACGAGAGTCACTAAGAAAATGTAGAGCAGATTTGCAAAGGTGGGGAGACATGAGGGTATGGTGACAGCAGAATAACAGTGACTTCGTACATATTTCAGAGGGAAAAGGGAAAGAACATCATGCTCAACAGACGTCACAAAGACACATCTCTTTAGAGTGTTTGAGTGCCTGGGTTTAACCCTTTCTAGAGGCTTCGGAGTGTCCCACACATTTCCAGTAGGGTGCATGGAGGGAAGACGCGCCAGCAAAGCCCTTGTCAGAGAAGATGCTGAGCAGACGAAGGGGTGGCCAGATGGAAGCGAAGCAACGGGAGCTGGCGAGGAGGTTTCCATAGTGCAGCACAGGGACTGGAGGCGTCATTGTGCATTAATAGCCGTCTCATCAGCTGAGTGTCTAATCTGGCCACACACTGAGGAAAAAGGCTGCTGAAGCGACCCTTGGATGTACACACGTTTAGCAAAAGCATCCTGCTTAATCTGGTTACATACAGTAACATATAGCATTGTGCAGGGCCACTGCATACAGCTGAGCAGGCTGCCCCCAACTCCAGGAAGCCCCGTTCACAAAGAAAACCACCCCAGCCCTGCTGAGGGGCACACCTGAGGAGGTAGGGCAGGCCAAGAAAGCAGGCCTCTCTGACGGACTTGTCCCCATGCAGAGAAACACAAGGTGTGAAAGAAAAGCCTCAAACAGGCTATGCTCCAGCAGGAAGCCCATTTGGACCACTGTGTGACCCAGGGCTGGTGCCGTCAGCTCTCTGAGCCTCAGTTTGCTCGTCTGTTAGAAGAGGCTGCCAATCCTGAGCCCACAGGGCTGTTTCGAGACTGATGGCCATGTGTCTTCAAGGCCCACACAAAAGAGATAGCTGACCAGTAGGTTGCGTCCATTATCACTGGAGCATCCTGGGTCCCATCTGTGGCAGCCAAAATATAATCCAAGTATTGACCTCTCACACACATGAGATTAGATTCAATGCGACCAAGTAAAATAACGCATAAGACAAAATAAAGTAAACACAAATGATCCATGGGGTACCCACATATAGAAGCAGTAGGAATTTTGGTAGAAGTTTTTCCTCAAATGTATGCTCTCTATTATTTCCATTTCTTTACACACCATTTGATAGCAAGAAAATGGACGTGTACAGAGCAGGGAACTGTACAGTACCTTTCTTCCAGTCTGACGGTGACTTGCTGCAGGATCTGGACTGCCTGCTTATGGTACTCCAGCTGGGCTTGGACAAGGGCGGAGAGCTGGCTCACCTGCTCGATCTGCAGATTGGTGGGGGGAAGGAAGCACGCCTTGGTTACCAGGGTGCTGTCTGTCAGCGGTGACCACTGTCCTGTACATATGACAGAGCTGCCCCTGACACACAGCCCGGTGCTTGGTGACGTCCATGACCACGTGGTGAGCCAGGCTAAGACACACACCTTTACAGGTTCCAAACTGATTAAGGATAAGAAAGCATCCCTGTGCTCGGGAACTCTAATACTACGAGGAGAAACAACATTATTCAGAATCCTCCTGAAGATCCCATAACTCTCATCAAACAGTCTCATGCTTAGCTATAAGCTTCTAAGTAGGGTTTGGCTTATTTTATTGATATCCTGTAAGAAAACAACATATATTGACCAAAGGATTCATTGCTCCCTACACTTTTCATGCTAAGTCAATATTAATGCTGTTAATAAAAATGTGAATATTGATTTCCCACAGGAAGAACCACAGGAGGCAGTGTGGTATGATAGGAAATCTTTCATCCTAAGTCTCAACCGTAATGTAAAGGGGTTGGATCAAGTGACATTTGGTTTCATTCGAGCTCTCCTATTCTAAGCACACTTGGTTACTCTTAACTTGCCATCTTGTGTCGTGATCTAGCTGGACAGGGGCAATGCTGCCCCATGCGTTTTGGGGTATGTATAGCCCAGGGTGCAGGTCAGGAACACTGCGATTCAGGCCACCTCTCCCCTCCCCCATGCCTACAGCATCCTCTTCAGTAGGTAGGTGGACACAATTGTTTCACATAAACACAACCCTGCACTGTCTCTGGGTGATGGGAAAGTCTGGACATGGTCAACACGTCTCCTCTGTCACCAGTCAGGGCAAGCAGTTAAGTGGTAAGTACACAAAGGCTCTGTAAACATCTTGCAGTTAGTCAGCAGGTGATGGGCCAGAGGCGGGGTGAGCAAGGGCAGGAAAGTTGGTCAGCAGGTTTGATCCTTGAGTGGTGGGAATGTCACTGCTGAGCCACGAGGAATCATTTAGTACTCTGGGAATGTGAGACCAGCTTTCACACTATCTAATCTACGCCCACATGGAGTGTCTAGGCTACACTCATAAATCTCAATCGAAACTACCTTTGGAAAGAAAATGTCAACTTTGCTACAAAATACAGAACATCTTAACCAATGTTTAACACTCGTCTGAATGCATTTTAGTTGATATTCTTCTATAATCTGAAGTCAATCTGCCCTGCATTTCAACAGGGTATTTTTTGAACTACTGGATTGATACATGGGTCATCAGAAACATTCTTCACCTCCCCACTATTGGTAAGATCATTAGAGGCAAAAATGTGGTTAAATCAAACTATAGAAATATGGGGGAGGGAGACTTACCATTTTTAATCTACTTTATAGTTTCAAATTCTTTTAAAAAAATAACTGTCTACTGAAGCTCTCACCACATAGTGCGGTCAGATATTAAGGTGTTTAACGGCGTCCCCTTTAGCACATTAGGCTCGTACCTCCGTGGAAGGCTAAATGAGAAACCACAGCACAGTCACTCACATCCATTTCCAACAGATTGAACATGCTGGACTCAGCAATCTCTTTAGACTCATCAAACTTCTCCAGAGCTTGACGGAGCTCTTCATCGGGGATCTTGCCTTGACGTTTCTTCTTATAATCAAAGTCCAGGCGTCGACCCTCCAACTTCTTTAGATGATGCTGAAAAAGTCCAGGGCAGGAATGTGCTTTGAAAGGACTCATGGAACAGGCCTGTTTAGAGCTCACTTCCCCATCATGCCTGATAGCTTCCAAAATGAGGCAGGCTAAGTTCTAAATATTATGTCACCAAATAAATTTAAAAAAAACATGCATCATTGGGGCAAACACTTCCATGGGCTTAATATTTTATTATTTTATTATATTTTGCCTTGCTGGAACCAAGCCAAGCTGGATTATGTGTTTCCCGTCACTGGCAGAGGCTGGGAATTCATGTTCATGCTCCACACGTGGAAAGCATCAGGCCCACAAATCCCCAACTTCAGAAGAAATGGTAGCTCATGAGATGGCAGGAAAAACAACACTTCCCTTGAAATGAAGTAAGAAAGAACAGAACTCTTGATTCCAAATCACAGAGCATTAGCACTAGAAAGGACTTATCTATGGGGATAATCCAATTGGTTAGAATTGCCTTATTAGTTATTAATTGCTTATTTAAAATATGGATTCCTGATCTCCTGCATTAGAATATCAGGGCTGGGCCTAGGAATCTGTATCAACACTTAGCCTAGTTGACTGAACAACTTTCAGGTCACCATGGACTAGTTTAGGTCTCCCATTTGACACTCAGTTACACCTGACTCGGAAGGGACCTAATGCCCCACACTGCACTTCAACCCCTCCTTACCCCATCCCCAGCACATGCCGGGCCAGCTTCTACCCAAAACCCTTAGTGACAAAGTGAAAAAGTAGGTTCCCAAAGCTACAAAGGATGTTCTTCCTACGAACGAGCGGCAGTGTCCCACCACTAGTAGGCAGGGGAAGTGCAGGCGTTCCATCCATCTTGGGTGTGCAGAGAGAGACAGAGAAGCAGATGAAAACAGAGCTAGGAGTGGTGAGGAAATGAGGAGGAAAGAAAGAAGAAGAAAACATCCTAGACCTTCCCTCCCCCTGCACCCCCTGCCTCCAATCCATGCTCTGACCCAAAGTTAAATGTTTGTTTCTTCAGAAGGAAACCTCTTGACAAACGTTTGAACTTGGGTCCCCGCAGGGCAGTGTACTGGAGTCAAAGTTACATTGAGAGTGTGTCCACCCCTCACGAACTACAACCTTGAGCCAGGACTGAAGGAGACATCAGCTGGAATAAGGAGATCTAGGAGACTGCGCGTTATGGCAGTCCCTTTCACAGTACAGGAAATGAGATTTCAGACAGGGCCAACAAATATTTGTCAAAGGAATGAATGAACAAACACTACACACCTAGTCAGGGGTAAAGCTCATTGAACTTTATCTGAAATAGCTCAGCTGTTCTACTTGTTTTAGGAAGAGAACAGTCGCATGTTCTTCCTCAATCCTAACAACTGTTAGGGAAATATAAAAACATGTCTCCATAGAGTGACAGAACAGCTATTTATTTAAGGTAACTAGTGCAGCAAGCACTTTAAGGGATGGAAACCCACAAAACCATAGAATAAATAATAAAAATGTGTATTATGAGGGACAGGATATTAGCCTTCTGGAGGAAAAAAAACCTTAAACATAGAATGTGGAGAAGTCAAATGTAATGTTCATGAGAGACACAGTTATAATAATGGGAAAAAAGTATTAAATTACTGTTTTCTCTCAATTTATTTTGCAGAATTGTTTTGCAATTCACGTGCCCAGTGCTGACCACGTGCACAGTAACCTTAAAAAATGTTTTCTAGAGCACAAGGGCGCCTGCACCGGTGCAGTGGAGACTGCCCTCTTCCCAACGGCCGGCGGCAGATACCTGAATTTCCCTCAGGTCTTTGTCATGAAGATTCTGAAGGGGGTCAATGAAGTTCTGCTTCACTTCCATGTCCAAAGAGTCTTTCACCTCTGAGAGCTCCCGCATGGCCTCCCCCACCTCACCGAGCGCCGGGCCTGGATGGGGAGACGAGCTCTTGCATGTTAAAGGACAGAGATAAATGCATCCGCACTGCGAGCGCCCGTCACTGAAGAAAACCCATGGGTTACCACCCGTCTCCCACAGACAACCGAGATGACAGTATGCCACGCCCTCCGGAGAGCAGTGTGCTTTCCACCTAAGCCAGTCCATACTGGCAACAGACTCAGTGCCCCTCCGGGGGTGGCATCTCTTATACAATCTTGCTTTTCCTTAAAAAGAAATTTTGGAGACTCCCTGCCCTTTTTTGTAACTACCAGCTTTCCTGCTTAAAGCCAACACGTTTCTCAGGAGCAAATATCAGGAAGAGAGAGCAGGGTACAAGAAGAATCACTGTTTGCTAAGACCTCACATCACAAGGGAATGAAAATGGAGGGTGTTCAGTATGGCAGCTGAGGGCCCCAGGATAAAGGGGTGAAGGAATAAACCATGTCTCTCCTGAGGTAGCAGAAACTGGTACCACATACAAAAGGGCATTGTGTTAAAACATGCTCACTGTGACTACTTGTTCTGCCTCAATATCCAGTCACCGCCAGACACACTCAGTAGTGAGTGTCCAGGCATCTGGACATGTCGGTCAGCTACTGTGGAGATTGGGATCTCATCCGGGAAAAAGAAAATACATGAAACTCTTACAACAAATCACACTAAAAATGATGAAACAACTCTGAAAACGATTTTTTGGCCCATGTGTACGGGACCTAACACTGAGAGTCAAAATTTATAATGGCCTGAATGATTCCCCCCGAGTTTCTCACGGTGCGCAGTCCCCACGGACGAGCAAAGGACCGAAGCGGAGGCAGCGCTCGTTACCAAAGTTGCAGTCGTCCCCGAGCTCTCTTCCGAACTTGAGCATGGCCTCGGCCAGCAGCGCTTCTGCCTGAGGGTAGCCCGGCCCTTTCTCCTGGCCACGGATTTTTGACATCGTGTTGATCATGCTGAGTTTAGCTCTGGAAGCTGAAGGCAAAGAGAGAAGGGGTTTTCAAACAGGCAATGCAGGGAGGCAGAAACAGGGCTGGACGAAGCATCAGGCCAAACCAGTCTGCACACCAGCTCAGCTACTGGAAACGGCACCTTCGCCTTCCCAGCTCCTGTCTTCATCTATAGCATGTGGAGATCGGTCCACAGGTAGGTTGACATAGACAAAGCTCTAGATCGCATATACATATACATATATATGTACATATACATATGGATATACAGATATAGATACAAAGATATATATATACATAGAGACACAGACATAGATGTAGACATAGACATAGACATATAGCTATAGACATAGACACACACTTTTAAAATCACTAAACTCTCCCTTTCTGTCAAACTCTTATGAGGAACTGAGAAAGGTAAAGTCCTTCTGGGTAAACAGCATCCTTGCGTGCTCTTCCGGCCCCTTCTGGTGCTTTGGTCACCACGGTGGTCCTGCCAGGGCTGCGGCGGAGCTGGGTGGGCCAGGCAAAGCCTTTGGAAGGCAGCTGTGCTCACCACTATACCGCCAATGCCGACTAGTGGATTATGTGATTTCTGGGTTTTAGAATTCTGGTTTTGCATTTCAAGTCCAGCAGTCCCTGGACTAAAGCAGAACATTAATAAATTCTTGCATTGTGGGCTTCATGCCATGTTTTACTGACACCATGTATAAAATAGAACTATTTTCAAACTCACTTCTCAACTAAAATTCGAACAGTAAACAGACCCACGAAGAACAGAAATACTGCATTCATTAGAAATACTTACTATCTTCTCTAGCACATACCTGCATTGGAAAATTAGTTCTGAACCACAAAGACAGCGTTTCAATTTCTTTTTTTTTTTTTAATCCTCACCCAAGGATATTTTCCATTGATTTTTAGATAGAGTGGGAAGGAGGGAGAGAGAGAGAGAGAGAGAGAGACATCGATGTGAGAGACACACTGATTGGTTGCCTCCCATACCTGCAACTACAGTATGTACCCTTGACCCAGAATTGGACCTATGACACTCTACCCACTAAGCGAAACCAGCCAGGGCTCAATTTCTGCTTTTATTTTTTATAAAAGTAGATGCCTAGAAAGCAGTTACAGTTGTAGTGGAAGAAACTGTTTTCTTAATACATTGTTCAAGTCAATGATTTACTTGATGCTAGAATACTAGGATTCCTCAGCTTAATTATTAGAGTTAAGATGGTACATAAACCTAGGACTGTGCCCGGGCCCCATCAGCATGGGGACCCAAGAGAAATCACAGCTAAGCACACTTCCGGCATCCAGTGGCTGACAATGGAGCTTCATCATCTGTTTCAAATAGGCTCTGTTTCAACTTTGGACTTTAAAGGTGGAGGCTGGTGATGAGGACAGTTATCATGACAGGAACCCCTCTCAACTCTGCACCAGGCATATTGCAATGAACAAGACAGCTCTGGTCCCTGCCTTTACAAAGCTTATCATGAACTGAGGGTAGTGTCTATTTTAAAAGCAATTAGAGTGACATGTATACTAAGTGTCATCCAGGGGGTTACACCCTGGCCCTGCTAAGGGTGGGGTTCCACACTGGAAACAGGACATTAGGGCCAATCTACATAGTGAACTGTGAGACCTGTTAGCTCACCTCTCCCATGTACCCTCCAGAGAACAGGCAGCCAGGTGTATACGCTCTGGGCAGGGCATAGGAGACTCTTTTCTGGGGAATACAACCAACCCAAGGGGAAAGACCAAAAGACACAGCCGGAAGTACAATGCAACAGTCCCAGAATGGCAATCCTACAACGAAGCCGGGACAGGTAATAAGCACCATCATCCGCTCCCGCCCCACGGCTTTGCTGTCCTACACCTGCCGCTGCCGCCGCCACTAGATTTTGAAGAAAGCTTCTGACATGAGAGAGCCTAAACAATCAAGGAAATTATAGGAAACAAACCATTCAGGGAGGGGAAAATAACTATCATTAATATTCTCAGGTGCCTAACATAACTTTTATCCATAGAATAAAAAAGATACAGTGAAGAACACTGAGAAATTAAAATATAATTTAAGTTTAAATATGAATTTAAATAAAAGATAAAATTTAACAATCAATGGAAGCACAGATAACAAAGTTAAAGCAATCCCCCCAAAGTAGAATTTTTTTTTTTTTAAGAAAGAGATAAATGAATCAGGCAGCATGATATCAAAGTCACTCCAGGTTTAGAGGCTGAATAATGGAAGTTCCCAAAAGGAGAACACAGAAATAGAAAGAGAAGTTCCTTTTAAAAGTTCAAGAAAATTTCCCAGAACTAGCAAATGTGTGTTTTCATATTGAAAGGATCTATTGAACATCTAACACTATGGCCAAAAGGATCCATTAACATAAAACTTCATAAAACTGGGAACAAAGAGAAGTTTCTGAAAACTTTCAGGGAGAAAAAAAAAAAATGGGTTGCTTATAAAATATCAAGAGTCAGAAGGTCACCGAACATGAGAAAACCACGAATGTGAGGATTTCCCACCGAAGACAGTGTGGCGCTGTTTCTTAGAGAAAATCACCCAGGAGTCTAGATTCAAATGATCAATGACATATAAAAGTAGAACAGTGATCTTTTCAAATACACAAGAAGGTCTTAATTTATTTTTCTTCTCAAGCTAATGGAAGAGGCATTCTACCAAAATGAAGGGGTAAGTCAGGAAAAGGGACAGGTGTGGAATGTAGGAAAAGGGACCCAGCGTAGGGAGAGGTGGAAATGATGGCCAAGGGGAGCTCAGGGTCTCACTGCGCCTCAGGCCATGAAGCCGACTTTGGCTGATACTACACATAACCGGACGTGTGCAGCTCAGGGAGCCAGGCGCTACGACACGAGGGACTATGGGCTCCCCACGACCCCAGTGGGATCAAGTCACACCCCTGTACCTTGCTTCAAAATGCCTCCTCTTCCCCCCTGCTTCCCCACCAGGGTGTCCTGGAATCAGTTCCCAAATCAACCAGTTGTGCTCAAGCCTTTGCTACACGGTTTGATTCTAGGGGAACCCACACCAAGACAGAAACCAGTCCAGAATGCAGCTGTGGGTATCTCGAAGATGATGCACCCGACACTCTTCAGTGCCTTGAGAGAAAATTCGCATGTGAGTCAGAGGGTCTGGAAAAAAAGTTAGTGAACTATACACAAGAAGTTAAAGAGATAAAAAAATAAAACAGTTATTATTGTAAAAAGTTTTATGAAACTATATGATTTTTAATAATATGTACATGTGTTACTCCTATTATAAAAAACTAAACTTAAAATATTTCTCATTTTCTTTTTCCCCAGTATACTAACTTTGTGGCTGGACTGGATAAACACTACTCATCGTATCTTGACAATTTGGGCAGTGCTCCAACCTCGAGGGTCTTTCAGTCAAAAAAACTCTACTAAAAATACGTTCACTGGCTGGGAAGAGCGACGTTAATAAAGATTTGCAGGTGAAATGCCATCAGAAACCACCATCAAAGGAAAGGGCTTGATGAGTCCACATCTAGTTGATTTCGGAAAGGAAATGTATCAGGCAATTTAAACAGCAGGAAGTAAAATCAGCTTGACCCTAAAAGGCTAATCTATTTAAAAAAAAAAAAGGGTTCCCATTGTTTTGTCCTCTGCTAAAAGTGGTAGTTTTTCTTTTTTTTTTTCTTTTTTCGATTGTTTGTTTTTGTTTTATTGCCTCAAAATCTATGCTATTTTTTTATTATTATTATTATTATTTTTTATCCTCACCCGAGGACATTTTTCCATTTTTTGTTCAGATAGAGCTTGGAGGAAGAGAGAGAGAGAGAGAAACATCGATGTGAAGGGACACATCGAGTGGCTGCCACCCGCATGACCAACCAGGGCGGGGACAAACTGCAACCGAGGTACATGCCCTTAGCGGGAACCGAACCCGGGTCTCTCTGTACCGCAGGCCGACACTCCAACCGCTGGGCCAAACCGGCCAGGGCTATGCTATTTTTTAAGGAAGACAAACAGGGCAGCTAAGGCTCAATCTGAAGCCATCTCCCAGCTCTAAAACAGAATCGCCGACGAGCTTTCTAGGCCTGGGCACAGCCGAAGGGCAGTCAGAGCCCTGGTGGGAGTAACAGCTCTGTGAGCCCGGCCAGTGCATCCTCTGCCCTAGAAGCGGGGTCTGTGAGTCACTGCCCGTCTCTCCCACAGCTGCTCATCTAGTGTGGTGACATGCTGGGAATGTAGGAAACCCAGCACTTCTGTTAAATCTTAGTTTTAAAATCTTTTATTTCTGCCCTGGCTGGTTTGGCTCAGCAGTTACAGAACTGACCCACAGACTGAAGAATTGCAGGTCGATTCCCAGGCAAGGGCAGGCACCTACCTGGGTTGCTGCTTTGATCCCCGGCCCCAGTTGGAGTCGTGCAAGAGGCAACTAGTCGATGTGTCTCTCTCACATTGATGTTTTTCTCTCTCCCTCCCTCCCTCCCTCCTATTTACTAGATCTAAAAAAAAAAAATCAGTGGAAAAATGTCCTCAGGTAAGGATTAACAACAACAACAAAAATTTCTGAATCCAAATGAACAAACAGGAAAATAGGTCTTGTATTTCATGGAAAGCAGCATAGAGTGTTAAAATAAACATTAGCTTTGGGCTCATACAAACACAGGTAAAAATCCAGGCTCTCAATCTTGTTAGCTATGTATCCCTAAAAAACATCTCATTCATAAGTTTGTTATCAGTAGTCACTGACGAAGAACAGGAAGAGTGACATGCACACACAGCAGGCACTGGGGACAGGAGAAGCACCCCTTTCTTTCCCTTCCGTGTTCTCTCTTCTATGACTATCTGTGCTGGAGTCCTCTATTGTCAACTTGGTGTATGGGGAACTACATTTCCCAGAATCCCATCCCAGCATGTTTCCCAGTCGGAATGGTCCAAAGTGAGGCTGTGCAAGATTTGGGAGGTGAAGGTGGAGCAGCAGCCTTAACGCTGAAAGTCAGAAGGGGTGAGAGACAGGTGCACAGGCATAGA